TTCTTGTGTTGACACTGGTTTTCTCCTAAAATATTTTTTACTGAGTAAACAAATTCTAAAAGTCGATAAATGATGTCTAAATCAGTAATTATGTACTAGGCACAGTTAAAACAAATAAACATGACAATTTGTTTGACCTTGACGACGCCATCACTAATATTTGCTACAAATGGTGACACCGTTATTGAAACAGTGTGTTAATGACAGATTATATTACGCTTTTATTGGTTTTGAAAAGACATTCAACCGAGTTGATCATTGTTTATTTTGTAATATATTATTCAAAGCAGAGCTAAATAGGTAAATTATTTTCTGTTTTACTCTCAGTGTATGCTAACGTCACAAACTTAGTTACATCGACAGCCAAGGTATCTGATTGTTACGAGTGTAAACTGTGTGTAAACAGAATAGTATTGTGTTCTTTCCTGTTACAGTTTACGTTTACGACGTTGGGGAGGCTATATATCTCAATTTCCCCTGGTACATATTGCAATCGTCAATTAGTTTTTTCGGTTATTAGCTTTAGCTGTCTTAAGTTCAACCCAGGTTGATTACAGAGATTGCTAAATAGACTGTCACTACACGTCCTGAAATTGAAATGAAAACAGTTAATTTAACAACATCATAGTGAACAATGAAAAACAGTTTTACAATCGTTGCAAACTAGAGGTTGTGGTTGATTATAACTACCTTGGGTTTACTCTCCTCCAGAGTAGGATTGTGGAGTGTAACACACAAGACATTTGCAAGGCAACCAACAAAAGCTCTATTTAATGAAAATAAAGTCCTGAACAGATTTGATAACAAAATAGATTTCAAAATATTTGACGCAAAAATAATGTCGATTCTGATGTAAGGGAGTGAAATTTGTGGTCTTTGCAGATGTAAGGATAGCATATTTTTTCAAAATAAATGTTGCCGTGTTGTACTAGCCCAATTTGACGAGATTTACAGTCTGTGCCCTACGTTTGACGCGTGTTGTTAACTACTGGCTCGGGTTGCTGTCTCACTTTTGCCTTTCGTATCAATGGTTTGGTTTTTAATATAAGCTGAATAGAATCTTATTTTAATTTTATTTCATTTTTAATGTTGATGTTCATATAGTGTTTTGAGTTGATGATCCGTACCAGTAATTCTACACGCATGCGCATTTTGCTAATATATAGCAGAATTAAATAAACCATGTTGGCCATATGATGTAAAGCAATTACTCAAGCGGTATGGACGAGGCTTGGTATAATCAGAGTGTTGGAAGTGATGTCATTGTATAACTCTGTTAAAATAACGGGCTGTGATATAAGCGGTAATGTTGGTAACGGGGTGGTAATCGGCTATAAAACTCTTTCCTGAAACTCTTTATGTGATATTTTGTAGAATATTTTTCATGAATTTATTTCGCTTCAACAATGTTGAAAAATAACAAAATTTGCAGAAGACGATAACAACTACCCTAAAGGACTAACATGTAGTCTGGTATTATGGCGATGCTGCCTGTAAATGCATAAACATGTCAGAATAAATGAAAGTTGTGTAGAGTGAAAGAAAAAAAAATGAGAATTCAAATTGAGAACAATGTTTCTTTCATTTTTCTCATGTGATAATTTTAATTATTATAGTAATATTTAGTGAATATTGTGGAAAACGTTTGGTAAATATAAAGTTTATGTAAATTTAAAGCGCGGTAGTC